TCTCATCTACTCGCTTACTGGTGCACACTGAGCCTCAACCTTATTCCAGCACGCATCTTCATACAAATTGTTGCACTGTGAGCCTTACTCCTATTTCCACAGTCATTCTCAGGTTTGTTGTTTCTTGTTTCCTCACAAGGACAATAATTTTATTCCAGCCCTCACCTTCTGACTTTCCAGTGCACGCTGAAGAGTGACCTGGATCCCGTGTCATCTTTATGATGGCTGGCTCCTGATGAACATCACCTTATCCAGCAGTCATCTTCATGCTACTGTCTCACTCTGACCCTCAACCATAGTCTATCAGTTGCATCCTTAGTTGTTGTGTCACACTGACCTTTGAACTCATCCCCTTAGTCATTTTCCTTCTTGCTGCGCACCGAACCTAACCTCATTCAGCAGTCAGCTTGATGCGTGTTGTCTCACACTGACGAGAAATACACTCGGGCATTGGTTGCTATGTTTGTCATGTGAAACTGAAGCATAACTTTCCTTGAGCAGTCACCTAATTGCTTGTGTTGTCCAGTGAACCTTAACCTCATGCCAGGGCTCATCTTTGTGCTGGGTGTCTCACACTGAACCATAACCTTTTCCTAGTGGAAATTCCATGCTTTGGTCTCACACTGAACAAGTGGTCTTTGTCACTGTGGTTTCAACCTGAATCTTAACTTTACTCCAGCAGTCATATTCACGTGTGTTGCTTCACACTGAACCCTAAAATTATTCTTCCAGTCAGGTCTCTATGCCTGTTATCAAACACTGAACCCTAAGTTTATTTCAAGTGTCATCTATAGATGCTTGCTGTTTCACTCATCTTAATAAAATTTATGCAAGTCATTTATAAAAATAAGTGTGACTATATCTGTATGGTGCTTAACATTTAAAATAAAATGATCTGTCCAACTGCTATAGTTTTAAAAAAACAATCATTCTCCCATCCCCTTTTTGGAAAGAACTACAGCTGGGAGCCTTTTCTGCTGCCTGATCCAGCTTCAGAAACCTGAGCTAAACCAGAGACTGAACTTTGAGCAGTCTGAGTATCTGCGAATGAGCAGATTCAGTCTCTGCCACAGAATCTGTTAAACAGAATCCATTTCATCCTGCTGGGATTCAATCATGTTCATGGCCATTTGTCTTATATGCTTTTTTCTGCCACATTTGTTCAGTACTAAGACATTTGTCATCAGTACTTTGCTCCTTCCCTTTTCCTTCTTCATTCATCCTGCTGCAGTTTCTGCAGTGGACCTGGTCACTGATCACAGCCTAGAGGAGGGAGAGATGAGGAGGGCACCACTCCTGGGGACGGCGCCAGCCCAGCAACCAGAGGTGGGTGGCCTGAAATCCTACACTCAGAGGCTATAAATCTGCTTTAAAGCATGTATTTTTTACTCGCTGGGGGAACAAGTCGTCACATTGTAAGGTGCAGAGAAGAAAGGAAAACCCTGAATAAGGTTTGTAAAGTGGAATGCAGAGGATTGTCTAAGGTTTCACAAATGAAGTTCTGGTAAGCAATGTCCCTTTGGAGAAATGCAAGCGCCCCTCTGAGAACACTGAAATGACAAAGTTTCAGACTACCAACAGCCAACAGCTTTTAGCAGAGAAGAAAAGGAGAGTGAGCCATTTTTTTTTGGAGGGCCCATCAACTTCTCCACATTAAAAATGTTAGGCAGCTAAATCCTGTAGCAACAAGCACCTTTGCTCTGTATGAGCAAATGACTTGTTCTCAGAGGCCTTCTGGCACCACACGGAAGAACTAAATGTTCTGTTCCACCTTTACCAAGGTGACTCCACCTCGTGTGTTGGGGGTATGGTCTTGGTACAGCTGTATGAATCCAAGAGCTTGCTGACGCTCTTAATCCCAGGGGCCTTCAAAGAGGTGAGCAGGAATATAGTGGTGTGAGAAAGTTAAGATAAAAAAAATGCCCTATAGGGAGAAAACCTGACTCCAAAGCTTGGAGATTCTATTACCCAGAACTCAGTGTGCCTAGGAGGTCTGAATGGAACCTGAAGATTGCTGAGGTGGACAGAGGGAACATCCTAGTTTGAATTCATTGCTCTCATGGAAGGTGTTGTGAACCCAACAGAGAGAGATTTATTGAACTTTTATAATTCTTCAGGAGCTGGAGCAGTATAAGTACAAGACCAAAGTTGTACTTTGTGTTTGGTTTATTTTCCACTTTTGACTTCTCTAGAAGTGTGAAACCTGGGCCATTTTATGTAGGAGTCAGAGCAAGAACTTTGGTAAGACTGAGAGGAAAGGTATTTTGTTTTGAAAGAGTATGAATAAATAAGTGAGTAGTTTAAGGGATATAAAAAAATCTAGTATAAAGATCCAGAGTGTTATTCATCCTGTATATTCTACCTTTCAGCATGCAGCGCTTTAAAATGCTGGCGGTAGGAGTATCCAAGCTCTAAAGGGAGGATCGTGGATGGAATCTGTCATTGCCCTATTGAAAGGAAATTTCAGTGTGGCAGGAAGTGCTTGCATACAATCATCATATTGTTTAATTTGAATAAAAATCTAGAGGAATTCTTTACTGATGCAGTAGCTCTGTGTCTTTTGAACATAAATTGCCTCTTTAATATAAGAATCAGGTTTCCAGGTCATCCTTGGAGATAAAATTTGTTTTTGAAAATGAGTGCATCATGTTTGTTTGGGATTGTGATGGGTTTAATTCATTTAGAAAAAAGATACAGAATATTTTAATATCTTTGGATCTGTAAAAATTGTGAACTTGGGCCTTGCTGGACGCTTAAGTCCTGTCTGACAATTGCAAGGCGGAAAAGGCTAGAAAAGAGACAGACCTATACATCACTCTGGTGAGGGAAGAATCTATCCTGTAGTCAAACTTCCAGAATTAGGGAACCAGGTAAACAGATGATTAATACTAAAGACAGACTAAGAGGTGAGCTGTCTTCCCGTCCATTCCGTATCTGTTACAGAGGAATAGAAAAGCAGCAGTGGCTGCCCAAGGCTTAAGTGTGAGCTTTGGTCATTTATGAGATTATGCAGCCCGTATCACTAACCTAGGAATGAGAAAGGGTTTCAGAAAGAAAGATTGTGCAGACTCCTGGAGGTGCCCAAGACTGCTTCTCTTCAGAATGTCACGGTGGCTGCAGGTATGAGAGGGCAAGTGTAACATGTCTCCCCCACCAGTGATGGTGAGCCACTTGGGGACTGGTTCACTTGTATGTTCCCTAATTACTCCGATTTAGCCTCAACAACTTCCTTGTCCCCTATGAAACCACCCCTGATGATTCAGGAAGGGTCACTGTTACAAAACCCTCAGAGTGCCCTTTGCAGGAGGACAGACTGAGACGGACTCCTGAAGGAGAGTGTTCCCAGCCTGCTGCGGAGAGGCAAGGTCTCTCCTGGCTGTGCTGGCCTCCTGCTTTTACTGCCAGCCTGGACAGCCAGGCAGCTTTCAACAGTTGCTATGTAACGTCCATAGAACATACCCACATAAAGCATCTTACCAAGGGAATGGGGGCACAAAAATGCAGGCATACAGAATGGGGAGCAACCCAATCTCTTTGATGTCCCTGGCCCTCCACAAACACCAAGGCCACTCCTAAACACATTAAGGTAATTGAGACGCCCAAGACTATATTCTCAATCTGTCCTTACAAATGGAATCCTTATTTTCTAAGGTCTTTAGTATACTTACTAAATTTTATCAAATATAAGTCTTACAATCCTAAACAATCTTTAAAAACAGAGATGGAATGAAGTTCATTTTCTAATCACCCAAACCAAAAATTAAGACGGAAATGGCCATATTGCACAGTTCTTGGGGCAAAGTTCTTGGGTCATTACAATGAAAACTGCAGTAACAAATAATTTTGAAATCATCAATAATAACATTTGGTGGGTAATTAAATGTGAAAACTGGACTATGCTAAGGAATGGCCAGATCGCTGGTAAAACATTATTTCTGGGCTTGTATGTGAGTACTTTTCTGGAAGAGATTAGCATTTGATTCCGTGACTGAGTAAAGAGATCTGCCCTCACCAAGTGGGGTGGGGAGCATCATGCAGTCTGTTGAGGGCCTGAACAGAGCAAAATGGCAGAGGAAGGGCAAACTCCTGTGCTGTCTTCTCAGGTTGGAATGTCCATCCTTTCCTGCCCTTGACTATTGGAGCTCCTGGTTCTCTGGCTTTCAGACTCCAGGATGTAGACCAGCAGCCCCTAGTTCTCAGGCCTTTGGCCTTGGACTGAGAGTTACACCATTGGCTTCACCAGTTCTGTGTCTTCAGACTCGGACTGAGTCATACCACCAGCTTTCCTGGTTCTCCAGCTTGCAGACAGCCGATTAGGGGACTCTTGGTCTTCATAACTGAGTGAGCCAATTCCTATGATAAATCTCCTCTTACAGGTGACCCTTGAACACCACAGGGGTTAGGGGCATTTATCCTTTGCACAGTCAAAAATCCGTATATAACTTTTGATGCCCCCCAAATTTAATTACTAATAGTCTACTGTTGACCAGAAGCCTCAATAACATAAACAGTTGATTATCACATATTTTGTTGTATGTCATATGTATTATATACTGTATTCTTACAATAAAGTTAGAGAAAAGAAAATGTTCTTTCAAATTGTCACAAATCTCAAAAAAAATTTCCAATATATTTATTGAAAAAAAATCTGTGTATCAGTGGACCTGTGTAGTTCAAACCTGTGTTACTCAAGGATTGATTGCATATACATCACTATACATACTATTACTTCTGTTTCCTCCTGAGACAGACTAATACAAACATAAAAATTATTGAATGTGACTAAAGCCATATTTACAGGACAATCCACAGCCTTAAATGCTTTTATCATAAAACAACAAAAAAGTAAAATACAATATGCTGGATATTTATTGAAAGCTTACACCGTGTAGGGCCTGAACAAAATGTATTTTATTTAATCTTTATAGTACTTATGTCGGGGGTACTGTTTTTTGCCCTTCCTAGTGCTTAGGAGATAGGTACCATATCTTGCCCTTACCTTTTTGATATGCTCAGTACAACTAGGCACATCTACATGATGTTCTAACTATGATATCAATTTCCAAGAACAATTTCATATGTTTCAACTCCATGCCACACATATTTATTAGTTCATGTTGTATACAGGACACTGTAACAAAGAAATGAATAATACATATTCTCTACCCTGTAAAATCCAGTGATGGGTATTTATGTTATAGATGAAGGGGAAAATGTACTCATAGTACGATTGCAACTAACCCTACTAGCTGAAACTGACTGTATTTAATGCGAAAAATGATGCATAACCCCAGCACCATGGCTGCAGAGAGTAAAGTGATTCCAACTTAGAGTGAGGGCAGGAGTCAACTGTGGTGCTAGTTGCCACTGCTCAGGGAGCAGCTCTAAGTTGCTCAAACAATTAGTTAATGTGATTGAAGCAGGAAGAGCATATATATCTCCACTTTATTAAAATATTGCATAGATACAGAGCAGCTGGGATCATCCACTCTAAGGCACTGTTCTGGTTTGAATGCACTTCCACAAGAGAGAAAAGAGAAGCCATTACATTCGTTACCTTTCATCTCTACATTCAGACTCCTCCCACGTTACATGTTTATTGCCCTCGGGATCTCAGTGTTAACCTCACACTTACAGCAGCATCATACAGGGACCTGGATGACAGAATTAAAGACACATCCTGCCTCTAGCACTTGACATGATTTGGCACTTAATGATAAACTCTCTTGCACTGCTCTCCGTTTGTTTCCCAAATCTTATTTAACTTAAGTTTACAAACTCTTTAGGAACCTGACCCATGAATTATTAATTTTTTTAAGTAGTTTCCATTAAGCCTAGAACAGGACTAGTTAGGCACATACTGGTTCCCCCTCCCCAATACTTATATTAAATATATCACTTTCAAGAACATTAGTGGAATAGAAAAAATATACTTTCCCTAATTTTAGTCTAAGGAAAGGATGACTGGTATCTTTATAAAAGGAAAATAATTGAATGAAAATATTTCTTGTATTTTTATAACAAGGAAGTAGGGTGAATTAATATTTTCAGGAATTAACAGTTTTAACTGACAAGGAGAGTTCTTCCCTTGTTACAGGAATTTGAGTCATTACCATGAGTATACGGGAACATTTACATGAATATCAATGTGTGTGATTATAAGTAAAATTCAAAGAGGTTGAGAATCACTGAGCAACTTATAAATTATCTGAATTAGTGACCCTCACCTCCTTAAAATAATATATTTATGTGTGTGTGTATTACATAAAAAATGTATATGTGTAAAGAATTTTTCTAACACCCTTAAACAAGTGGGCTTTAACTAGGCTTGGGAGCAACAAGACTATACTGATTAACTACAGGAATATCTGTTAAAGGCAGTGTGCTCCAGGGAATATTTGCAGAATATTAGTTCTGTGTGTTATTACTGGGCATACATGAAAAAGGGTTTTGGGGTCAAATAGGTTTGCAAAACATTGAGTCAAAAGAGGTGTTTTTCCACCTTTACTGGAAGACCCCTCAGAAAGTATCATTTGCTGATGTGCACCGTGAATCTAGAAAGGGGAAACAAAAAGGAAGGGATTCCAAAACTTATTTGCAGAATATCTTTTAGCACTAAGTGTTCTATGACACACACATAGGCTGACACTGAATTAAAGAATGGATGAAATTTAAAAAGCACTGAGACACACGAGGTGGACTACCAAAGGAGAGCCAAAAGCAATGGACACTGGCTCCTCAATCTAAATTCAATTAGATTCTACCTGTATGACCCAACTGTCAAATGGATTCTTCCACAGAGATTACTTATTCTGTGAACAAAATCTATCATCATCAAATTAATACTCAGCTCTAAGCAGCATCACCCCGACTACCAACTAAGCAGATTAGCAAACTTTGCAAAATTCATAAGTAAAAGGTAAAATCTTAATTTCCTTAAACATAAAAAATTTCAATGGAAATAACCCAGTTCTTATCAGGCAAATGAAATCCCTTTCATCCATGCATTCCTGACACATTTTTATTATTTGACAAAATATACTATCTCCTTTCTTGCCACTTGGGACACATATAAAGCTTTGAACTATATCATCACCTTTAATAATGACAGCAGAATAATTATGGTGCTGCTATAATAGATATGTCAGATAGACATGCTAACCCATTATACTAACCCTGCCTGAAAAGGACTGTCATTATTTATATGCTTTATGTTTACATCTATGATACGGTTGGCTTGGGACACAAAAATTTTCATTGCAATAAAAAAATAAAGGCTGTAGAGACAGAATAAATCAAATCTTGGTAAGCTACAAGTATAGGTGGACACTCTAGAATTCATATGCCTTGAAAGATGAGTTTTTACAAAGTAAAAAGAAAAAAGCCTATCCTTATAAGCTCAAACAAAAAGATTCTTCTAACACAAACTGCCTGCTGCAGGTTAAGATTTTTTGTTGTTGTTAGTGACAATTTCTGCAGGACCGGTTTCCTTTAACAATTCCTAAAGAAGTCCTCTAAAATGAGTGACTTGGTGCATAATAAGGCCTGCTCTCTGCCTGAAGCTTTTGGAACAATGACTACACTTATATGGTTTCTCCCCTGTATGAATTCTTAGATGAATAACAAGGCTTGGTCTCTGTCGAAAGCTTTTCCCACAATAATTACATTTGAAAGGTCTTTCTTCTGTGTGAGTTCTCTGGTGCAAAGTAAGAGCTGTCAGTCTACTGAAACTTTTCCCACAGTTATGACATCTATGAGGTTTTTCACCCGAATGAGTTTTCAGATGTCTTTTAAGACTTGATCCATGACAAAAGCTTTTCCCACACTCGAGGCACTTATATGTTTCTTCTTCAGAGTGGGTTCTCTGGTGCCCTATAAGGTGTGACCGCCGAGTGAATCGCTTTTTACACACAGTGCATTCGTAGGGTCTCTCTCCTGTATGCAGGCGTTGGTGTCTATAAAGGTCTGAACTACGGAGGAATTTTTTTCCACATTCAGGGCATTTATGAGGTTCCTCTCCTGAATGAATTCTCTGGTGCCCTGTAAGTTGTGACTTCCGAGCAAAACATTTTCCACACTGAGAACATCGGTGAGGTTTGTCCCCTGGACTCTTTTTCTTATGGGGTCTAGGGTTGAGAGGTTCTTCCAAGTTGGAGCTCTCAGGTTTCTCTCCTGCGGAGGGGCTCTGATTATCTACAAGTTTTGTTAAATCTGTCTGTAAATCCTCTGGTGGGGGTTCCCATTGATTTTCTAACTGTACATAGTCTTTTTGCAAAATGGGACCATGGAGAGCATTTCCCTCTAATGTAACAATAAATGGATACATAGTCTCCATTTTTTTCTGTTTTGAAGTATCTTCTTCATTTTCTATCCCGATCTCAAAACCTGAGAGAAGAAACAGAAACTGCAGGTTCAGTGTGTCTCACAGAGAAAAGAATCTAAGGGAAAATGAAGTGTTACATTAAACTACCAGCAGGAATGCAGACATTCCTAAGTAGAATCCAAAACGTTTTACCCTGATGAAGGTCGAATTTGTCCTTTCTTTCTTCCCTAGTATCAGTGAAGTTACTTACCTATCTTGGAATCAAGTAACTGTTTAATTTCTTTGGAATCTTGTAGTTCCTTCACCCATGCCTCTTCTCTCTGCTCCAATGGAAAGCTCATGTCAAGCTTTGGTATTGGATATCCTGGCCCTAAGAGAGATGAGAAGCCTAAGAGTTTGGGTCATCAAGGTTTATTCCGGAGTTCAGTCTGATGTCTTGGACACACGGACACTTAATGTGTACTTCCTCCTCAATTAGTATTACTTTACCAGGGATCTCTTGCAACGCTCTTTTTTAAAAAAGAATGAAATAAAAATGAAAGAACATCCTTTTAGCCCAATTCAAGGCTATGCTCCCACAGTCTATGGAAGGTAGGGGTTGAAGGGGGTGAATCAATTCTGTGTTGAAATCAATGCATGAAATTACTTCTCTATGTATTTTGGTAATAGATTTATTTAAGTTAGAGCCAAAATATGAAGTATATCTTCATAAAGTTTTGGCATATTAAAATGGAGAAATGCTGCTATTGAGCACCAAGTGAAGAAGAGAGGTAAAAGTAGGAGTTAAGAAACTACTTACTGGAATAATTTCGGTTGAGATTTTCAAATTTAAAATGGAAATTGACTGAGTTGGAGACCAGCAAAAGCAGTCTTTATGTTTGTTTCAGCTGAACTTTAGAAGTGGATTCTCTTGAAATGAACTCAGATAACTACCAAAAGTGTTTTTACTGTCAATCTAAGGACAACCAGGAAAAGTTTCTAGCACTACCACAGTTCTCCTTATTGAGAGGGGGCGGCTTGTCTTTCCATGCCCCTCCTTGCCTTCCTCAGCTCTGGTGAAGAATACTGGTCTGCAGGAAACTGTGGGATGGGAATTATGGATTTGGGATCTAAATGCAGGATGATGCTTAAATATTAGCATTATTAAAATAATATTAGCAAGTTAATTTGATGGAAATTTAAATTTCAAAACATTATATCAAAACATAGGAAGTAGACTAAAATATTTTATATTTTTTGGGGAAAAAAGACCCCTTTAAGTTTAAGAAACAAAAATATGTTTTAAATAAATGCTGTTTAAATTCACTGTATTGCTTTTGCTTGGATTTCAAAGCTAAGAGTGGGATGTAATATGGCATAGGCCACAAAACTGGAGGTCACAGAACAAAGGAAAGCTGCCATTAAGTAAAAGTGGGACCGAACTGAAACTTGAAATAAGCAGAGTAGCAAAGGCCTAGATGTAAAATACTGATTTATGATCTAAATATAAGGAGGGAGACAGACTTCAGTGTGATTGCATGAGGAGCTCTGCAGATCGACTTCCCAGTGAAATTGGTGAAAATTATTAGATGTTAATAAAAACAAACATTTAAAGTGTCTCAAAATGGACCTAAGGGCATACAGCAAATTAGGAACACCTATTTTTTTTTTTAGGAACACCTATTTTTAAAAATCTTCTGATATTCACAGAGAACAGTGAGAGTCTTAAGTATTAAAACCAAAACTGTTCTCTTAGTCACCCTCCCAGCTCCACTTGAGATCGGTGTAGCCAAGAGGCTGGGGCACCCTCTTCCCCACCTCCCTTTCAGAGGGTTATCTTCATGGGAGGAGCAGGGCTTCAGCATCTCTCATCCCACCCCCACTACCTATTGTTAAGTCTAAATTCCAGGCAATTGTGGCTGAGAGGCAGGGGCCCCTTTTGTCTACCCAGTCTTCATTGGTGGGACAGAGATCTACCTTGGGAATCTACCTGAGAATACTAGGTCCCTGACTGACCTTGTAAGACAATCATGATTGCCACTCCTGGCTGGAGTGGCAAGCCAAGAAGACCCAGGCACAGACCTAATGCTCAGCTCCAAAGTGGCACTGTCACCCAGAGAGAAGCGTTCCATTGTCCCCATCTCCAGCTCCAGAGCAATGCATCCGAAATTTGGCTTGGGAGGAAAAGTATACCTTAAAAAGATAGCTCCTAATGTCTTCTCAAAGAAGCTGACTTTATTTGCAACAGAGAGAGAAGTTCAAGCCTAACGGTACTCTCAAAAAGAGAGGAGGTTGCAATGAAAGGCAACTGGAAAGAGTTTGGTAGATTTATTGAATAGACAAGCTAAACTGTAAGCTGACTGCTTTGCAGAAGGGAAATGGAGAAATAAATAGCTGGGAGGAGGCTTCCTGGGATGAGAACAAATCTCAAAATCTGACCTCAGGAACTAGCCCAGCCCATCAAAGGTATCTGAATTTGATTGGATTAGTCTACAGAGCAATTTATGTGCCAGGGTACTGCTGAAAACAATAGAGCAATTAGCTGGCAATTAATAGCTGAGTCTGGTCAGGGTGACAGCCAAAGAATGCCCTGCAAAAACTACTGTCATTCCAGGGTAACTGTGTGCACACCATGGCTGTGCTCCATGAGGGGCAGAATGAAATGTTTTTAACATTGCAAGATGGGCTAGACTTCACCAAAATAATTCAGCCATTTGCCAAACAGATAAACAAGCAAATAACAAGCCCTGGGGAGTGGAAGGACATAGAGTTGCTATGATACATTATCCAAAATGTCCAGTTTCCAACAAAAAAATGGTGAGGCATGCAGGTGAAACTATGACCCATACACTGGAAAAAACAGAAGCACAGGTAACAGAATCTGCCTGTAAGAGTGACTAGATAATGAATTTAACAAAGACTTTAAAGTAGTCATTATGACTATGTCCCAAGAACTAAAGGAAAACATGACTAAAGAAGTAAAATAGGATGGCAACCTCACATCACATTGAACAGAGACTAACAATAAACAGACAGAGATTATAAAAATGAATCAAATGGAAATTTTGGAGTTGTAAAGTATAATAGCTGGGATGAACAATTTTCACTAGAATGGCTCAAGAGTAGATTTGAACTGTCAGAAGAATCAGTGAACTTGAAGACAGATCAATAGAGACTATGCCTTCAGAAGAACAGAGAGAAAAAAGAACGAAGGGAAATGAATAAAGCCTCAGAGAAAAGGAGGGCACCATTCAGTGTACCAAGAGATATATAATGAGAGAACTGGAAGGAGAAGAGTAAGAAAAAGAGCAGAAAAAAATATTTAAAGAAATAATGGCCACAAACTCCCCAAATATATTGAAAAACATTAATCTCCACATCTAGGAAATGGAATAAGTTCCAAGTAGGATAAGTACAGAGACCTACTAACAGACATATTATAGTGAAAATCCTAAAAGCCAAATGAAAAGAAAAAACCTTGAAAGACAGCGAGAGAAAAATGACATGTCACTTAGAAGGGAACCCCCGTAAGATTTAAAAGCTGAGTTCTTGTCAGAAGCAGTGGAGGCCAGAAGACAGTGGGATTACATATTCAAAGTGTTCAAAGAAAAATAAAACTGTCAACCAAGAATCTTATGCCCAGAAAAGCTATCTTTCAAAAATGAATATGAACTAAGAATATTTCTGATAAACAAAAGCAGAGGGAATTCTTTGGCAGCAGACTTGCCTAACAAGAACTACTAAAGGAAGTTTCTCAGTCTGAAAGTAAGAGATCCCAATGGTAATTTGAATCCACATGAAAAAGCAAAGGGCACAAGCAAGGGTAATTATGCAATTACCAAAAATAGGATAAATATAAATGTCTGTTTCTTGTAAGATTTTAAACGCAATTGTATAAAACAGTATGTGTGTAGTGCATTGTTGGGCATGTAACATAGAAATGTAAAATATTTGCCAATAACAGCAAAGATGAGGTGGGTGGGAGCAAAGCTATATTGGGCTAAAGAAATGACTCCCATTACGAACTCAAATTCATGGAAAAAATGAAGAAAACCAGAAATGATAAATAATGTTAATATAACAAAAGCTATAATATATACCTGTTTTCCTTTCTTCCTTCAGGTACTTTAAAAGTCTTACAATTATACGTTGAGTTTGTAACATTTTTGATGTAATATGTATGATAGTAATACCACCAAAAGAGGGAAGAGTATAGAGCTGTATGGGAGAAATATTTCTATATCTCACTGCCATAAGTCAGTACAAATCTGAAGCTGATTATGATAAGTTAAGATGTACATGTTAAACTCTAGAGCAACTAGAAAGGAAATAACTAAAAAATAGTGAAAATTCATTAAAGTAAGTAAATTGCTATGTTCCAAATATTTGTTCAGTGTGAAAGAAAATAGTAAGTAGAGGGACAAAAAGATAGGAGACATACAGAAAACAGAAAGTAAGTGGCAGGTGTAAATCCAACCATATCAAAAATAAGATTAAAGGTATATGGATTAAACAACTCAATCAAAAGGCAGAGATTGTCATACTGGATAACAACATCCAACTAAATGCTGTCTATAGGAAACACACTTCAGATTAAAAAATACATATAGAGTGAAAGTGAAGGGATGGAAAAAGATGTATCATGCAAATAAGAACCACAAGAGAGACAAAATCACTATACTAATGTCACATAAAATAGACAATAAAACAAAAAGAAGTTGCTGGAGATAAAGCAGATCATTTAATAATGATAAAATAGACCAATCAATGAGGAAGACATAACAAGTATAACCATACATGCACTTAATAATAGAGTACCGAATTACATGAGGCAAAGACTGACAGAGATAATAAAAGAAATAGACAATTGAATAATTATAGTGAGAGACTTCAATAACTCCTTGCATTATTAGATAGAAAATCTAGGCCAAAGATCAACAGAAGACAAAAAGTACTATAAACCAACTACAAACCCTTTATCAACATTTATAGAACATGCAATCCAACAATAGCAGAATATACATTCTTCTCAAGTGCAGATAGGAAAATTCTGCAGGTCAGTCAAGATACTATAGCATAAAAACAAATGTTCAAAAATTTAAAAGGATCACACTCACAAAGCATATTCTCCCTCAAAAGTGGAATGAAATTAGCAATAAATAACAGAAAGAAATCTGGGGACTTCACAAATAATTAAATAACACACTCCTAAATAGGCAATTAATCAAGAAATCAAAAGAGAATTCAGAAATATTTTGAAGTAGATGAAATGGACACATAACATCCAAAACTTATGGGATGTATCTAAATCAGTGCTTGGAGGGAAATTTATAACTATGAATGCTTTTATTAAAAAAGAAAAACCTCAAATTAACAGCCCAACTGTGCACT